ATCATGGTTCCAGAAGCTGGTGAACTGTCTAGACTTTCAGATCATGTAGCCAAAGATAATGGTGTTGGTAGAAGTTGGTGCCTTGCTGGTGCTTCTGGTGCTTGCAGTAGTTCCTCCAGGAGAGGTATTAAAAAACATTATTATTTCTGCATGAAATAGTTGAAATCAAGCTCCTCCTGCTGGGACTCTGAGGAGCACAGGGACTGGCCTCCTGCTGGGACTCTGAGGAGCACAGGGACTGGCCTCCTGCTGGAACTCTGAGGAGCATAGGGACTGGCCTCCTGCTGGGACTCTGAGGAACACAGGGACTGACCTCCTGCTGGTGCCCAGAGTCAGGACTAAATGTGAGACAGACTTCTTCTCTGACAATGTTCAAATCCAGATTAAAACAGTCCTGTTTAGCTGCAACAACAGAGGAATTCTATTTTTACTCTTTTTAATGCTCTGTGATTATTTATGATTTTAACGCCTTGTGTTATTGTTTCTATCTTGTTTTGTGTCCTGTGTATGAATTGTGCTGAACAAATAAACTTGCCTTGCCTACACCTGTGGTGATCCTATGGAGTTAACGAGGACCTATTTTAATGGCATAATTTTGCTGTTGAAAGTTCTCAGCTGCTGCTGTAAAGTCTAGAAGAGGACTGACGTACAGACAGACTGACGTACAGTCAGACTGACGTACAGACAGACTGACGTACAGTCAGACTGACGTACAGACAGACTGACGTACAGTCAGACTGACGTACAGACAGACTGACGTACAGACAGACTGACGTACAGTCAGACTGACGTACAGACAGACTGACGTACAGTCAGACTGACGTACAGACAGACTGACGTACAGACAGACTGACGTACAGACAGACTGACGTACAGTCAGACTGACGTACAGACAGACTGACGTACAGTCAGACTGACGTACAGTCAGACTGACGTACAGACAGACTGACGTACAGTCAGACTGACGTACAGACAGACTGACGTACAGTCAGACTGACGTACAGACAGACTGACGTACAGACAGACTGACGTACAGTCAGACTGACGTACAGACAGACTGACGTACAGTCAGACTGACGTACAGTCAGACTGACGTACAGACAGACTGACGTACAGACAGACTGACGTACAGTCAGACTGACGTACAGACAGACTGACGTACAGTCAGACTGACGTACAGTCAGACTGACGTACAGTCAGACTGACGTACAGACAGACTGACGTACAGTCAGACTGACGTACAGACAGACTGACGTACAGACAGACTGACGTACAGACAGACTGACGTACAGACAGACTGACGTACAGACAGACTGACGTACAGACAGACTGACGTACAGTCAGACTGACGTACAGTCAGACTGATGTAGAGGCCCGCCGTCCTCCGCACGTTCACACTCGAGCCGCGGCTGGAGCCGGTCACATCCAGACTGAAGAATCTGCTCAGTCTGACGACACATCCTCAGAAGGACAGAGAGTGAGCGTTTCTGAATCAGAATATGACACTAAGCAGAATATACAATATAATATACAGCCACACAAGAAGATAGTGTGTAGCAGATTTGTGTGTACTTTGCACCATCTACAGTAGTTTTAAATAATAATATAATAATAATAAAATACTTTAATCATGTATTTCTGACTTTCTGCCAAAGAAATGTGAACAAAGAAAACATGGTCATTACTTGATCATGAATCTCATCTGCCTCATGAACCAAAGATTTATATTCTAAATTGTAAACACCCACATGAGTCCAAGGTCACGGCTCAATGGCTGCTGTAAAAGTAGATCATGTTTGGATAAAGTGTGGACACCCCTGTTCTATTCACTGAAAAGAGAGATAACAAAAGCAGAGATTGAGCCCATATTAGAAAAAAAAAATACTGTCTTTTTGGAGGGAATTGGATTAATAAAAGCGTATTGCTCGCTCCAGTCCCTTTTCAAGGGTCATTTAGAACTGGGAAATATGTACAATAAGTTGTAATTGCAAGTTAAGTATGACATTGATGCATACTTATGAATAATAATATATATGAACAAATATGAATGAATAAATAAATATGAATTAATACATAAAATAGAATACTACAAAAGAATAACAATAGTCCATAAGTGTCCATTAGTGTATGGGAATACACTTTGATAAAACCACTGTTCACAATAATGAACATTCTAAATGAAAAAGTTACACTTTCTCTGGTTCTTTCTCTGGCTCTTTCTCTGTCTCTTTCTCTGGCTCTGTCTCTGGCTCCTTCTCTGTCTCTTTCTCTGGCTCTTTCTCTGGCTCCTTCTCTGGCTCTGTCTCTGGCTCCTTTTCTGGCTCTTTCTCTGGCTCTTTCTCTGGCTCTGTCTGCTTTGCTTTAGTGTTTAGGGCGGTGCTGAACCTTGGGACTTTGTCGTTTGTGGTGCTCTAGTTTGACGTGGGTTTCATGGAGCACTCTTGAGCTGCAGCAGAGACAAAAACACAAAAGAGGGTTATGTTTTTCACACTGATTTCTCCTTGGCTCAAGCCGCGCACTGCACACATCAGATCAGCAGCTTTGAAAAATCAAATCCTTCTCATCCAAAAAAGAAAATACGACATGATAACCTTGACATTATTGGATGCTTTTTCTTATATTTGCATGAATGCCTGCTACTTTTTAACATTGCTGCCAAACATTTGGAGTAAGCCTGATTGATTGGTCTCCAATTAAAACCATCATCATCTGCCTTCGAGGTGTGGAAGCTTCCAGATGGAATTTTGAAGCACTTTTTCAAACCTATTTTTTCCAAATACAAGAACAACATGTGAGACCAAATCAAACCATGTGAGTAGATCAACAATACGTTTGGTTGGCTGTTATTATTTGTATTATTTTTAATTTTTGATAAATAAGTAAAAGGCAAAGGGCCAGTGTACTGTGTGTACCAGTGAGCTGGTATGTACCAGTGAGCTGGTATGTACCAGTGAGCTGGTATGTACCAGTGTACTGTGTGTACCAGTGAGCTGGTATGTACCAGTGAGCTACTGTGTGTACCAGTGTGCTGGTATGTACCAGTGTACTGTGTGTACCAGTGTGCTGGTATGTACCAGTGTGCTGGTATGTACCAGTGTGCTGGTATGTACCAGTGTGCTGGTATGTACCAGTGTGCTGGTATGTACCAGTAGTCATTATTGCTAATGGGGTCTCCATGCTTGAGTCAGTACTGTGTGCTTAGTCCGCTGGCTCTAACATGTCAAATGAATATATATTTTGCAGCCATGTTACAATATTTCAAACTCACGTAAATGTTTGGCCTGTTATCCAGGAGGAATACCAAAAACATGGCCGGCAGCAGCAGAACCTGGCCCAGAATGCACGGCACACATCCAGTGGCTCTCTTTTAAAAGCAGTGTTTGTGAATGGATTTTCCCCTCTGCACAAATCCCATTACTCTCAATCGTAAAGAAACTGGAGCAGATTCCACTCATTCTAACTACAGCTGAATGTATTAGTGCAAAAAAGACTGCTTCTAATTCACTTTTTTGTTACCTCGGATTGTCAAGATGGGAAGGATTCACTGCATGTTTGTTGACACACTTCTCCATGTTGGAATGCCAACTGGGAAAAATGGGAAGCATGTGAACACATTCTCCACGTTAATTACCACTACAGAGACTCAATAGAGCTGTTGTTTCAGACAGCAGCATGTATTTATGGTTCACTGTGTATGTGCATGCAGAAACACAACACTATCATTGTTATCATTGTTATTATTATTATTATTATTATTATAGTGAATCTGTGCATTTCTTATCACTATTGTGACTTAACTCTTGTAACGTGTCTCATTCAGTTTTTACATTTGCCCTATGAATGCGTGGCTTCTGCTCAGAGCGATGAGAGAAAATGAGCTGAAAGTTGTTGAAGGAGTGCGTGGAGGAGAAAACAGGTGGAAGCAGCTGCCGGAAGAAACAATGCAAAGGGAGCGCATTTAACACACAGCGAGTGAGTGTGAAGGTGGACTGGAGATTCAGAAGAGGCAAAACAATAATCTGATGCACTGTTACTGCGACAGTCACATTCAGGCGATATTTATATACCTCTGCCAGGACAGTAGATATTACTTTAGTCTGATGTAAGTGCTGTTTGATTCTGGCTGCTAGAGTTCATAACACCAGGAAACCAAGTTCGGTGACAGGAAATAAACGTCTTGACTTTTTTTTTGTGACCAAGCCTTATTTTCTCTCCAAATTTGTATTGTGACTGCAGACAGCAAAAATATCAAAAGCCAAAGCAGGAGGAATTCTGGTCTTTTAACATGTGAACGTCTGTGTCTTGAGAGTTTCGGATCCAGCTGTACAAACACATGCTTCTGTCTCGGGATGATCCCCTTTGCTCTTGATTTATCCCTCAGTCTCCACTCTGCAACGGATGCGTCCCCTTTTAGCTGTTGGAGGTTGTGGCTGCCGTGGCTGCGGGTGTGGGCCGGGCGTGAACCAACTCCCCTCATCGGCACGTGTGTGACTCAGGACCAAACTGTTGTGGTTGTGGCAAAGCACCCCCCCCCCCCCCCCTCTCTCTCTCTCTCGCACTTTCGTTCTCTCTCTCCCCCACATGCGCTCTCTATTCTTTCATCCAGTGACTAATTACCTGATTCCCCCCAGGATTTGTTCCTCTTCCCCTACAACTGTTCAGCTTGTTCCACTAAATGAGAGTGTGCCGATAAGTGGGGATTCATTCGAACTGAGCCAAAGTGTTACCGGATCAGAAACTATAGCCTGGTTTTACCTCTGCCTCCACAGTCTGTTGTTCTTACTGCAGAGAAGCTCAAAGCTGCAGGTTTGCTCTGACGATGATACTGGTCTGGTTTA